CGGGGACCTTCATTTCACATGAAAATTCATGGAGAAGAGATTCATGAGTTGATCTCTTCAGAAGACAATGGCTGAATCCCATTGATGAGATCAACCTACGAATCTCTTCTCCATATACTTTTATACGTAACGAAGGTCTCCCCAACAATAATTTATCCAGTACAGAGTTGGAGGATGGTGTGAAACTTCTACTGGAAAAAGGATTACATTTTGTACTACGGAATGAAGTAAACTATTATCTGGAAATGCTGATGGAGCTAATTAGATTATCAGAAAGTTTACCTGTTCAAGTGAAGGATAATATAAAGTTGGAGATGATTCCTCACTTCACTCACGTAGTTACGCCAAAGAAATCCTTTGTCCTGAGAATGCTATGCGGATATTTAGTTCGTTATAATCTAATTGTTATAAAGGCCGAAAAGGGCGGAGCAGTGGCAATCATGTATAGGCCAAGCTATCTAGAAATACATGCTAGTGCATTTAAATGACATTGATACGTATATTCTTTTAATGAAGGTCCTACAGAGGGACTTAAAACTAGGTTGATAGATACTTTGAAGGTATGCGTAAGTAGTTGCGTAAGTAGAAAATAAATTTCCTACTTCAAAGAGATGCTAGGGCATCCTCGGCTTATGGCTCTCCAAAGGTGCATAAAGAAAGGTTGCTTTTCAGATTGATTGTTAACAATAAGGATAGTGCTATGCATAAAATCTCACGTTTCTTATGCGTAGAAATAAGAAGTGACAAAATTAGGTTATTTTCGGTTAAAAACTCTTATGGGCTTGTTAAACTAGTGGACCAGCAAATATTTCAGAGGAAGATCTACTCGTAAGTTTTGATTTAGTATAACTGTACACAAGTATTCCAGTTCCAGGAGCGATTCAGGTTCTAATGCTTATACTGGAAGAGTATTCAAAGATTATGGAGGGAATTAAGTTGAACATAGCCTCCATTCTAAGGCTACTTAATTCTCTATAAGTAGTGAATATTTCACCTTAGGCGGTAAGTTTTATGAACGGACGCAAGGACTTACAATGGATTCTGGATTAGCTTCAATTTTGGCGAATAATTACATAGCTAAGTTTTAGGAACACCTAATGCAAGAGGTAATTTTGATTCCTAAATTGTGTGTTAGATATATGGATGCTTATTTTTTGATCTGACAGCATGGAAAAGACAGTCCAGATCGTTTCCTGTTTTTACTTAACCAGCGTAAAATAAATATTAAATTCTCAATGGAATTATAAGAAAATAGGAAATTACCTTTTGTGAATGTTGTGGTTATTAGCAAAGATGGTAAGTTAGGCAGGGATGCTTATAAGCAACCAACGAATGCTGGTTTTGTTCTTAATATTCTATGTAACCATAGTTACAGAACTAAGGTTGGCATTTTTAAATATATGGCTATTAGAAGTATGAGGCTTGTGGATGAAAGTCATCTGAACGAAGAGTTAAGAAGATTGAAAATTTTAACCCTAGAGAATACTTGTACTTTGGGCTTATTTTATGATCATATATATCTAATGAGGAATACATTTTTGGGCGAAGACTATTCATTCAGACATAGGCAAGCTTATACCCTTTCTCATGTTTTAATCTTGCCGTCAGGTTTATTATTCTAGGAAGCTAGGAGAACTAGTGATGAAGTGGGCTATAAAGAGAGTTCTCAAAGAGACTCAGTCACTTTCTTGGTTACACCTTCTTTTGGAAAGAAGTAGACCCACTATCAATATCCGGTTGCTATTAGGTTATGTGCTCATGTGGTCGATATTATGTTGGCGGGACCTGTCCGCCGATTCGCCAACGATTAGGTTAGCACAAAAATCCTTGTAAAGGCACCTGGTTCGAACGGTCAGACGCGGTGGAACGCATGACGAAGATTGGGCATGAGATAGAATGATGATTATGGTATGTCTGCTACGAAACAGGCTATTGAAATTAATAGATTAGGATAGACGTTGAGTGTGAGAATTGGTGGTATAAAGTTAAGTGAAAATTATTTATAGAGGTTTCGAAGGCATCGTTCACCCAGACGCAGGGGAGGGTGAATAACGCCTCGAGTAGCACAGATGGGGTGGCAGGGGTCGAGTGAAATGCGTGAACCAAGGAGAGAGCAGACGGATCTTACGGGGCAAGAGAGAGACTGTGATAAGACCTAGGGAAGGAGG